GGGCATCGCACTAGCGCTCGAGAGTTCCTCGCGAGTCCTGCCGGACTGACGCTTCAGCGATCCGCAAGGTGGACCAGGCCGTCCGGGCCCGCTTGCTTGGCCCGCCCATCAGGGTTCGCCCGCCCGACCCGCCCCTCTGGTTCTGCCGCTTGTGCTACTGCTCCTGACCCCCAGGGCAAGGGCAAGGGCGAGGGCGAGGGCAATGGCAAGGGCAAGGGCGAGGGCGAGGGCAAGGGCGAGGGCAAGGGCAGGGGCAGGGGCGAGGAGGAGGAGGAGGAGGAGGAGGAGAAAGAGGAGGGGGAGGAGGATGCTGATCTCTCTCGTGTTCCATCCTTCTCCCTCTCCCTTGTCCCTTCCGTCCTCTCTCCCTTCCCCTGCTTTAGGGGCTGCGCCAAGTACATGTGGTAGGTAAGACATTTTTATCCCCAAGGTGGTGTACGATCGAAGACGAAGGAGGGTGGGTCTCAAGGGTTTGGGACGTACATGTTGAGTGGCACGGAGCAGATGTGAGCGAACAGTTTTAAATTGATTGTTGAATGTCAATGTCTCAAGAAATGTTAGTATTGAACCACCCTCAATTGCCCATTGCATTTTTGAATTTAGGTTTTTCTCCCGGAGCTCGCGCTTCGTTTGGTAGAAGGAAAAGTCTTGAGGCACAGACTGCGCCCATTGGCCTTGGTCTACAACCACAGCGGGTCTCGTCTAAAAGCTTCCTCGCATTTTTTCAAAATCTCGCTCCCGTGCGGGAGTTCCTCACAATTTATTCAGACGCCGCGCCTTCGACACTCAGGAATCACGCTCTCGCTCTGGACTGCCACACGATTTAGTTAGGAATCGCGATATGGCCAGAAGATTTCCTCGCGAGTCATGCAAGACTGACGCTTCAGCGACCCGCCCGCTCGACCCGGCCGTCTGGGCCCGCCCGTCCGACCCGCCCGTTAGGGTCCGCCCAGCGGAGCAGTGTTTGTCGCATATTTGAAGCCATAAGTTTCGCACCGCGTTGTTTTCCAAACTGTAGCTCGAAAACAGCCTGACGTTCCCGACGTGCGGCCCGGGGTTCTCTCGCTGCTCCTGAACCCTCTGGCGCCACCAGGCCCACCCCGCAGAGCCGTTTGGATATTGAGGTCCCCAGGGGATGAGGTTTGAGAGGCAGACGTCACCCACGCCGGTACCCAAGTGGTCGATGAATTTGTTCCGACAAAGGAGTGGCTGTCGAAATCATTGGGGGGAGTTCCTGTCAGCCATCTGAGTGTGAAGAAGTTCGGAGGCGAGGGGAACAGGGGCGTAAGTGGTGCTTCTTTCTTCAAGTGCACCGCAAGCTTTGATGGCCCTGTAGTGAATCCCACCTACGGGCTTCCGACCGAATACTTCCTCAAGATCCGGAACGCAAATCAGGACGCCAACGAGTTTGCAATCGAGAGTACAGTGGACAAGCTCGCTGAGAATCTTCCACACCCGCCGCCGTTGGCACACATGTTTTCGATTGGCCAGAACCACATGCTCATGGAGGATGCTGGAACTCCATTAGACGGCAACTACACATTCAATGAAGCAGAGATGACTCAGGTGCTTGACTCATACGCTGACCTCCATGGTGCTTTTTGGAACATCCCTAAGGTGGAACTTTTGAGGTCGGCAGAGTGGTGGGGAGCAGTCTTTACGGGCTCTTTTCTGGGCAAAGAGGAAATGGATCGTTGGCTCGATTGGCGGATGACGCCAGAGCCTTACTTGTCGTTGATTCGACGTGCTCGCGATGAGCTTGGTTTTGAACGGATTTTCGAATTTATGAACAGACATGGTGTGACGCTTGCGCAGGGCGACGCCCACAATGGGCAGTTGTTGCGCCTGAGCGAACTCGCATCGTCGACACATGGAGGCAGGAAGTTCGGGATTATAGATTTTGGTACAGCAGTCCGAGCGAACCCCGCTGTGGACGTTGGTAGCATACTGAGGTCCTTGAACGCCGATAAAAGACACGAGGAGTTCGACTTTGTGAGGTATTATCTGAAATCATTGAGGTTACGCCTCGGGGAACACGCCACCACGCTCAAGATGACCGATGAGGATTTTTTCCATGACTACAAGCTCGGTAAACTGTTTCGTATTCTCTTCGAGGGCACGTTCCAATGGATGTCCCTTCCGGACGAAATTAAGAACAACGCCAATTATCCGAAGGGCTTCTCCCCAAGACGCCAGCCCCTCCCCAGCATCATGTGCGTGGCTTGGTTGGTTGGATGGTTGGCTTGCCGTCAGACTTGTGCAGGTTGGCAATTCGTCTGTTTTGCTGGTTGGTTGACCGGGTGCATGGTTGGATGGCTGGCTGGTTTCTTGGCGGGTTTGCTGAGTGGGGACGGAAATCAAAGGAGGGAACGACGTCGAAGATGCGCGCTTACGAGGGATTGTTGCTGAGCGAGCGCAGACCCATGGCATTTTTCAAGGGATCGGACCCATCGTGTTTTTTTACATGGGATCGTTACCCCGTGGCGCTGATCCATAGTTTGTTCCTCTCGCTTCGCGGGGTTCACGTCCAGAGCGCGTCAAGACTGGGCTGCTCGTCTGGCGCGCTGGTCTGCCGCGTCGTTCTGCCCGCCCGGGGGCTGTATCAGCGCCACGGGGGGCGGATGCGCCCCCCCCAGTTTAGCGCTGGGACGAGCAAGGAGCATTCACCGTGTGTTAGCATCAGGTAATGCCAATTTCAAATTTCGATTACCCTATCAACGACGCGCCAATGGTACAGAATTGCGCGGGCCTCTTGGTACGTTCTTGGGCCGCTTGGGGGCTGCTTTGGGGGCGTCTTGGAAGCTTCTTTGGGGCTTCTGGGGGCCTCTGGGGGGCCTCTTTGGGGCCTCTCGGAGGCCTCCCTGCGCCGTGTTGGGACCCTCTTCCGCCGGCTGGCCCCGTCGGACGCAGTCTTCGGGGCCTCTCAGAGTTGCCTTGTGGCTCTCTTGGTGTCCTCTTGTTGGACCGTCTTGGGGCCCTGTTGGGCCGCCTTGGGGCCGTCTTGGGTGTCTCTAGGGCAGTCTCGGGGCCATCTTGGAGGCTGCTTGAACCGTCATGGGCCCCAGAAGGTCGAGAAAGGCGAGAACGCGAACGCCTAGTAACCACTATCGGAGAATCAGTGTTTTTGGCCTCTGGAGGTGCTTGGGAGCCCCAGCCCTCTGGAGCCGTTTTGGGTGCCTCTCGGGCCCTTCTGAGACCATCTTGTGCCGTCGTGGGGCCATCTTGGGCCGTCGGGTGGCCACATTGAACAGTCTGGAGGCCCTCTTGGGACCCCGGGGGGCCCCAGAGGCCGACATCACAGATTTTCGAACTGCCTTGGTACGTCTCTGGGCCTCAGAAGGGGGGCTGCCATCTTGGTCCGCCAGAATGGCGCGACTCCTGAGGGGAGTCCACACAATATTACAGGATGTAGCAATTATGCAAGCCCTGGATAGGATACTTGGGATCTGTTCCGTTCGGTCTTCCGCTCCTTTCCGCCGCCTGCCTCTGGCAACGCGTCATCTCTGGACGCGGACTCCTCTCGCTCCGCGGGGTGCGCGTCCGGAGCACGTGCAGTTCTGGGAACCTCGAGGTGGAGGCCTTTTGTGGGCTTGGGTCCTCATGGTGACCTCGTGGGCCGTTTTGGCTCTTCTGTGCCGTCTGGCCTCTCCGGAAGCCGTTTCGGAGGCCTCTTTGGTCTGCCTTGGGGCTCTCTTGGGGTCCTCTTGGGCCGTCTTGGGGGCCGCCTTGGGGCCCTCCTCGGGGCCTTTTGGGCCGTCTTGGGGCCGTCTTGGAGGCTGCTTGGGCCGTCATGGGCCCCCTAGAATCGAAAAGGGTGAGAACGCCAAACTCCTTCAAACATCTATGGAATATCAATGCTTTTGGCCTCTGGAGGTGCTTCTCTTGGGGGCCCCCTGGGGGCCCTCTGCGGCCGTCTTGGAGGCCTTTTGGGCCTCTTGGGGCCATCTTGGGCCGTCTTGGGGCCGTCTTGGCCCGTCTCGAGACAATCTTGAGCTGTCTTGAGGCCCTTTTGGACTCCCAAGAGGCCGACGAGGCCCAAATCATAGATTTCCCATAGGTTCCTGTAGGGTTTCGCAGAATGAGGGTCGTCAGATCGGTACGCGCATGTGGCGCGACTCCAGGGGGTTAGGGGGTAGACGTACTAATGTAAAACAATACAGTAAGTAGCATTGACGCAATCATTGCATGCATGGATTGCGTTGCATTATAGCCTTCGTGGAAAAAGCTGTTTCTCAGCACGTCACTTCGGACGTGGATTGGATTCCTCTCGCTTCGCGGGGTGCACGTCCAGAGTGCGGAGAGAGAGAGAGAAAGAGAGAGAGAGAGAGAGAGAGAGAGAAAGAGAGAGAGAGAGAGAGCTGCCGCGCTGGTTGGCTCAAAGGTAAAAAAGCATTCCGCAGGTTATGAGCCCCGCGCGTTTGCCCCCCTCCCACCCATCTCCTCCTCTCCTGGGCCTCCCCTGATCCTTGTTAGAGCGCGCCGCAATGTCGACGTCGATTAACACCAAGATCCCTAATGACGATGATGACCTACTCGATCCGATCACGAGCATCATTTCCACTGGAGCTCCCGCGCCAGAGGGTTTCCCGACCCCTGTGGCCACACGGTCGCGCCCTACTGGTGCGGGCAGCCGTGACGCTGCGTCACGCCCGGCTGGAAATGCTGGTCTTCGCATGGCAGCCGTTACCTCGTCCGACAGCCGTGACGCTGCGTCACGTCCGGCTGGAGGACAGGTAGAGACCCGTCCGACACGTACCCTCCTGGCCTTCCGCCTCGCGGCCATCGCCGTGCAGTGCCGCTGATCCCAGTGTCGCAGTCAGATGTCAGCGCATTTCTGATGTGTAAGGTAGCGAAGAGCTTAGCGGGGGTCGCCTCCGCCATGCAAGCGAATAGCAGTGGTGGAAGTGACTAGCCGTTACAGTCGCTACCCACAGGACCACACACTCTGTACCAGTTAAAAGGGTTGGCGCCACTGGGTGCACGCACGGTTGGTGCGCCATTGAATGGCAGCGTTCGGCCGCAGTTCAATGGTTTCGCGATCATGCCCTTGACTTTGCCGTCAAACAGGCGCGACAAGAGCTGGAACATATGCAGGATGCCTGGCGTCGCGGTGATCCAGAACCCACTCTCCGTGGATTGCGGCAGCGAGCGATGGCCACGTTGCGACGGCTACGGCCTCGAGCGGAGGGCCACATCCAGGCGGTGGAACTCACCGGTGGCCAGGCCACCTCGGACCCGCACCTCATGGCCTCGACGCTGCCCCGCCACTGGGGCCAGGCATTCCAGCGGAAAGGAACCGATCGCACCGTGGACCTCACCACCTGGACAGCGCAGTCGCCTCAACTCCCGGCCTTATCCAGGACTGGCATGTCACGGTGGAGGACGTGAAACAGGCGGTCAACTCGTCGGGCTCGTCGTCCCCTGGCCCCGATGGCATCCCTTATTTCTTCTGGAAAGGCATCGGGGAGACCGGGCACACGGTGCTCTACGACTGCCTCGTCGCACTCATGGCGGATGGGTCGGCGGACAGGCTCGCGGCGGAGTATGGCTCAGCTGATGATTGTTTCGGCCTTTGCGACTTTACTGCGAGCTTGCTGGTACTGCTGCCGAGGAAGCCCGCCCGCGCCGACCCAGAGCTTGGCCACGTGTACAGGCCAGAGGACACGAGGCCGCTGATGCTGGTGGGCACTTCCAACCGCATTCTGGCCAGCGCGCGCTGGCTGAAGATCGAGCCAGCGGTGGAGAAGCTCGCCAACGATTGCCAGCGGGGTTTTCTGCAAGGCAGCTCCATCCCTGCCAGCATAGTCGAAGTCGAGGCCATCATGCAAGAGGCGGCCCTCGCGTGGTCCTGACCCAGGGCGTGGCTCTTTGACATGAGAGCCGCGTTCCCGTCGATCGAGCACGACTTTTTGCACAAGATGCTGGAGTTGAGCGGGCTTCCACTGCCGCTACGGAATGCGATCCGGGCCCTCCTACGCGGAACAGAGCTGCTTCTTGAGGATGCACGGGGAGCGACTGGGCGGTTTCCGCATCTTCACCGGGATCCGGCAGGGATGTCCATTAAGTACTCTTCTTTACGTTCTTGCCACAGAAGCTCCCAATCAGGCGCTTGTCCTGATTGGCGGGCGCGCTGCCTACAGAGCGTACGCTGATGACTTAGCGCTGGTGGCAGAAGGCGGCCTGATCCGCTGGGGCCGCGTCAAGCGGCACTTCGACTTGCTGGCGAGAGCTTCGGGGCTCCACCTCAATCTGCAGAAATCGGTAGTCATGCCGCTTTGGGAGTGGCGCCTGGACGCGGCCGCGCAGGAGTGGAGCAATCACATGCCAGAGTTGAGCAGCATGCGTGTTTCGCACAGTGATTCACACTTGGGCTTCCAGGTTGGCCCATTGGCAGGTGAGGATGCTTGGGCGGCGCCAGTTTAAAAGTTTTGAGAGGCCGTAATTGCTTGGAAGGAGCGGGTGTTGGGGATGTGCGTCGCCGTGCTGGCCTACAACGCGTGCGTACTCCCTAAACTGATGAATGTAGCACAACTTCAAGGCTGCTTCAAAGACTGGCCAGCCACAGAGGTATGGGCTATCCAACGCCTCTTCCCTGGCCCGGCTGGGTGGCTACCGAGCTCGATCGCGCAGTGCATGCAGGACGAGTTGGGCATGCCGACGCAGCTACGCTCGCTGACCACCGCCGGCCCAGCGGCCCAACTCCGCGCAGCGACCGTCGGAGGCGATCGCGGTCAGCAGCTGCGCCCGCCTGCGGTTGCACCCGCCGCAGGCCCGCCCGCGCGGCAGGCTGGCCAAAATCTCGCCGCTTGGGGTGTCGAGTGGCGATGGGCTGCCTGGTTTCGCCACGGGCCGGCGCGACGGCTGCTGCGGGCTCAGGAGGCTCTCGCGCGCGACGGGATCACGACCAACGCCGTTCTGGAGGCCTCCATGGGGGCTACCCCCCGGCCGGTCACAGCAGGGCGTTGGCGACGAGCGCGCAGAACGCTTCAGTCGACGGCCGCGCGGCTTCCAAGGCAGCGGCTGTGGCTCCGCAAAGGCCATTGGGATTTCCGGCGGAAGCTGAAGCAGTGCAGCCTGGGCCCCTTGTAGGGCCGGCGCGTGCTGGTTTGCATGAGGGTGATGAAGACACTGCCCAAGTGGCTCGCCCCTGGAATCCGCGCTGCCGTCCTCCGCACCTGGCTGAACGGGCGGTGCGCGGCTCGGCGCTTTGGCTCGCGTGGGCATGCCTGCCGGTTGGGATGCGCCGCAGGCGAGGACTGCCTCCGCCATTGCGTGCGCCGCCCGGTCCTGTGGGATTTCGGTCCGCGCCATCTCGGCCTGCATGGCCCAGGGAACTCGGGCGGGCGCGCGCAGGCATCTCTGCTGTGGAAGATGGGGTGCTCACAGGAACGCTTCGTGCAGTTGGCGACGCTCGTGGCCGCCGCCTACCAGACGCACGACATTCTCCGGTATCGCCGCGGCGGCCCGCTTCAGGCCTGGCAGCTCCTCGCCCAGGTGCCG